AAAACAATTTATTTTACCATTCTTGGTCTTTGTCAGCAAAGTGCAAGATCAAGGCCGATTTTGTACAACACTAGATATTATTACTTTAAACTTTTGGATGCTGTTTTTCCCATTATCTCTTCTTAGCCGAATCTAGAAAAAAATTCAATTCTAGAATAAAATATCTTCACTAATAATATTTTTTAAAATACAAACTTCACAGAAGTTACAGTTCGAGAGTTTAATCATCGTGACAATATAACGTCACAACAAAGAACTGTTTACGAAGGAAACGTAGGGAAACGGGCCGGAGTCATAATGAGAGGACAATTGAAGTTGCAACAGGTAAACCTTCACCTCAGAGACTCTTTCTTCACTGAACAAACAGGGTGTGAGATAGAGCGAGTGATAATGCGAAAGAGAAGGAGAAAAAGACGGGAAGGGAACGCGAGGAAAAGTCAAGACCAAAGAGGAAAACCCAATTATCATACTTGTGAGGATACAGAGTTTTTAATTAAGAAACTTTTTAACGAGGCCCGCCGAAACGAGAGTAATCTAGAAAGAACACAAAACATAAACCACACAGTACTGGAACATTCCTAATCCTTTAGGTCTACAGATCAGCAAAACTTAATGAAACCACGTCCGGGGGGAAAAAATCATTTAACAACAACTAACTGCTGTTTTATTTTTAAATGAAAATATCACTGTCCTGTTTAATACTCTTTATTGTACATTTTCTTATATAATCATCTTGTTTAATATAAGAATGTATAATATAAAAATAAAAATCACTGTAAAAAAATTCTCACAATATTGCTAGGTTAGTATTAGTATTATTAGACGCCTTGAGTAACGAGCAAGCTTACTTAACCAGATATTCTCATAAAAAATGTATTTCAGTTAAGAATAACTGGGCATTACATGTTTTTCCTGTTATTTATTATTTTAATAATAAAAATTTAAATAAATATAAAGTTAAAGTTAAAAAAACAATTCCTTTTCGCAAAACACTCTTAATAACTAAAATTATAAATGTTTTGAATCATGCTCCTAAAGTAGCATTAAACTTCATTGCATTTTTTACGATCTCAATTTTTCACATTTATTTATAATGCATAAACATATTTAGTGTGAAAGAGAACAATTATTACACTGGATTAATTATTGTCCAACAAGAGACATTAATATTTACGAACAAGACAGTTTATAAAAAAAAAATAATCACATCAATGTTATAAGTACTTTATAAAAATAAATGATCTCTCCACCAATAAAATAAAAATAAATGGAACAGAAAATGTTTACTTTTAAGATCCTAAAGTGAATTATAAAATACAACATTTTAATTTAGGTATTTATATTTAATCATGTAAGTTTCCATTAAGTTACAAAAGACTCATAAACATGACAATAATAAAACCTATTATGGACTTGCGGAGATAAATTTTGTGCTCCACTAAACCATCAGATTCGCCTCGTATTCAATACTTACAATATAAAATTCGTAAAATCCTTAATACTTCTTACTTTGCCGCAATGTTCCATATGTTTCGATTTGGCCCAATCCAGCAATCTATCTATCTCTTTATCCTCCAAGGCGTCTGAAAAGATGCTGGTCTCGGGACCTTCTTATGTAAAGCCTTTATTAAATAGCTACCATTTGGGATTTTATCTGCACGCCTTCCCGTTATTTTCTTAGTTCATAATCCGTGGTTGAAGTTTTTTTTTATTTTAATACAGTTGATCGTTCCTTATAAATTAAAAAAAATAAGTGAATTAATAATGTGTGTGTATCGACTACAGTCACTACAGTGATTGATTAGTGACAATAATACCGAAATATATTTAGAGAAATAGTAATAAAAAGAAATAGATAGACATTCGTAAGATAATTTGATCACGAAATTTAGAAAAAAATGTGGTCTAAAAATAATTTCGGGTGTTTAGAATAATTTGAACCCCCAACATGGCAAAATAAGCACAGGCTTTAGACCAAACGGTCCAATATTCTCTTCCCGAGATTGAGATAAAATTATCTTACGATTCAAGTCGAAAGGAGGTGGGTATTTAGGAGTTTATAGCATCTGCTTAAGTTATTAGGTTAATGATGAAACGTCCCTTTACAGAAAAAAAGTTCAGATAAAAATAATTATAACGGAAAAAAGTTGCAGTTTACGATAAGATTATACCATCCACTAAGTTTTAGGCGGGTGTTAATAATTTTATAATTAGAGGTCTATAACGCGGACTAAGATATTGAGACATTTAGGTACATAACATGTATATAATGAATTTTATGTTCAAGTACAAAAATATATAATAATACTTTCTGAATGTCAGTCGCTAATTTAAATCTTTTTTTTTTATCATAAATTGTTTTACTATTCAAATAATTAAGGTCCTTTTGTATTCCATTATGAGGATCGATCCACGGTTGATTGCCAGCCGAAGGGACTTAGTGCCCCACAAGTAGCCGCATTAGCGGACAAGAGGTCATCCAGGGGCCAGCCGAGGAGACACAGAGGAGTTAATGAATGTCCTTTGAAGAGAAGGCCACTAACTCGGTTAGTTTGATGGACTCGACAAGAAGACTCAGAGCCATTGTGTCCTGCAGATTTCCCTCAGGGCCGGGTCTTCGGAAGTTCATTAGCCCTTCGACCACCGAGGATTTAGCTCTCTTCACAACTAAAATACACCAGCCCGCTCCACCCACGCATCACACACTGCGCCCACTCAACGTATATACACTCTGCCAAATCAATAACTCCCTTTGTTAATCAAAGGTATATATCTACGCTACCATACACTTTCCCGTTGGTTAATAAATATTTCATTGTTTCCATTCCAAAATAATAACCAAAAAAAAATGTACTCTTTTTTTCAATAATGCATTTTCGAAGAATTATCAACTAAAAATGTTTACATTAAAATATTGTTGGGAAAAATATGAAAATATCGGTATAAAAAAATATATATTATAAATACGGAGTGTCCTAAAAGTAAAGGAAAATATTTCTAAAAGTGAAGAACTCAGGAAAAGAGTAATAGAAAGATCAGTTAGAGGAAAAAACAATTCTCTACACCAATTTATTATAAAACACTCCAAACCCAACCGCAAATAGAAACTATATTTAGGTTTTACCTCATGTTTCGCAAATCCTCTTCATTACATTCAAGGCATTTCATTACATGCATGAAAACGAAGCAAAAAGCTCCATGAATTATTTCTCATTCTCGTGAAACAAAATATTTTCTGTATAACTAATATTTCTTTTTAGGTTTATAGCCCAACTATTCTGCATATCCTATATGAAACTAAAGAGCATAAAATTATTGTGAATTCATCATTTTCATAAAATATAGCCGCGTGTGAATTAAAAAATGATAATGAGAAAATACCTATAAAGAAAAAAAATATATTGCCCGATTAATTTGCCCCAATGATACCTTCAGACATGATATTTACATATTTCTCTCATATATAAGAGCAGTCTACTGTTGGAGCTAACACAGGAGCCTGCTTAGTGACAAAAGTCGCAGAGGAGCGGATCCTAAATTAACAAAGTTGTCACATAACTGCTCTTTATCACAGTTATAAACTACAGTCCGTCGACTTGTCTCTGACACGACAAGCTAACTTTGCAGCACAAGCCTCATAAGCCCAAATTGGTCCGAACCAGCTGCACGTCCCCAACACAGAAATCTACAACGAGGAATAATTGCCAGAGCTACCTCCAACATTCGCGATATGTTCCGGCAACACCGCTAATACGTAGATGTGAGGGCATTACAAGGAAGAAAAGTTTAGTAAAGTCGGCCAACTGACATTAAAGGAGAATTTTCGCTCATTTGTGATTATATATTTGGTCATTTGGTAGCAGTAACTGCTTTCATCTTAATTTTCAGATTACGCCTTGGAAATGTAATGTAATTGATAATTAATAATTTATTTAGAAATCTAACTTCAGATTATAATTTACTTCTATTTCCATGCAATAATATAATTTAACTCAAATATCCGGCGGTAAATCAAGTCATTACAGTAATAAGAAATTGATATTTGATTTTTTGGTAACCAGCGAAAACGATTCCTCTGAATAATTATGCTGTAGAGAAAACGCCTACAAGAAAAAGAAAGACGAGCCAATACACGCGCTACTAAATTAAAACTAAAGAACGAACCCCATACTTTTCAGTATCTGTAAAAACTTAGGTTATTGATTGTTATAATTAAATTCATTTACTATTGAACATGTCAAAAAAAACCTTCCTTAGTAACATAGGACTACTCTTAGTGCAAAAGGTAGTAAATACAATTTTTTATTTTTATTCTAGCTACTTCGGAATATATTACAGGGAATTATAATATGAATTCATGCTGATAAATCATAAAGAAATAACCAGTTTTGCTAAGTTCACTAGTATTAACTTAAAACCTCCCAACAGGAATGAGAAAAGATTAAATTTATTTATTTTCATTCAAATTTTCAGGTCAAATTAATGAGAAAGGAGACAGATTTTTCCTCACAATTTTTCGCAGTGTCCTCGGTTCTCCGCTGCTACATTTTTCTGAGCGAGGTGTAGAATAGTAATAATTCTATTAGAAATATTATTTTAAAATAAAAACAAGATTTATTCCCCAATACCTATAAGATATCACTTTTGAAACAACCTACACCTAATGAAACGAATAACAGAAACTTGAGTCGCTTTGATATGGGTAGACATAAGAAATAAACTTTGAGAGTTTATTTGAGGATTTATTATTAGATCAAAGCTATATCGAATACAAGTCATTTAAATTGAAAAAGGAGGAAATACGAACAATAAATAAAGAAGTTCCGTAAACATCTGATTTTATTATAGTTTTAATATTTTGTTGTTAATACTGTTTTATTCCTTTAAAAGTTGTCGCTTTTAAACCTATCATTTTCATTTACCAATTCACATTTTAAAAATATGTTATTAATTGACAACTAAAAATGAATGCTATATAAAAATATTATTCTAGAAGTGTAATGTACGCAGGTTTCTTCCCATTGCCTCCGGTCTACTGCTTAACCTGGATCTGCCTGGACGTACTCTTCTGCACCGCTTCCATCATGCACCTCTGCACCATCTCCGTCGACAGGTACCTCTCTCTCAGGTACCCTATGAAATTCGGCAGGAACAAGACACGCAGAAGAGTCGTACTCAAGATTGTCTTCGTGTGGCTACTGTCAATAGCCATGAGTCTTCCATTAAGTCTCATGTATTCCAAGGTAATGAATGCCTAGAGTAACTTATAATTAATTTATAGCACTATTATTTACAAGAAAGGAGCTCCCCAAGTAACGTAGAGAATAGAAGACATAATTTTTTTTGGAGGGAATTTTTTTTTTAAACGGTAATCACTGTGGAAGAAAAAGAAAGAAACTATATGTCTTTTTTTTCTCTTCCATAATTTTATTGTAACTACATCGCAAATAGTTATCCTCTCTAAAGTCAAGATAATTCGATAATTTTTCTTGTAGTCTGTGGGATTTCAAATTATCAATTTGTCAACTATCAACTCATCGACTGTATGTGGTAACAGAAGCAATAACGCTTTCAGGGATAAATTTTTTTTTTTTTTTTTAAAGGAGCTTACATTTAGTAAATGAAATTTATATGTCATAATTTTAAAAAAATACGTATTGTGATCTTTAATGTATTTAGCTCACATTACCCACAGAAACAGAAAGAATCACTTTATTATCATAAGAGGGTGCTTCCCAATTACACTGGGTTGCTTTAAACACAGCATACTTATTAATCGCTACAGACAATTTTCCAAAACTAATATACAATTATATAGTATTAACAATATGTATGAGCATAGTATACAATTTTTTTGTATATATATTTTTATTATAATTTTTTTCCCAATTTTTTTTTTATTTTATATTTTTACTATTTCTTTCATTCATTTATTAACATTATGCATCACTTTCTCTTCCTTCTCTCCCCTTATACATTTTTATCATTCCCTGGATTTTCTCCTCTTTTCCTAACCTAATTCATAAAATGCATACAAATACATAAAGTGCAGTGGACGTGGTCAATAAATAATGTAATAATAAACCACTAAAAGGAAGTTATATCTTGTAAGACTTCAGTCCAATATCCCCCGGACCCTCGTAAATCCGCCTATACAGAAGTATTACGATACAGATTTCAATGGTAGACAAACAGTCAATGATTTTTTTTTTATATATTATTAAACAGGAGTTCAAAGTTTAATTTATTTATTTTTACCATACAAGCTTTAATACTTTAACAAGAATGACCCACATCAATTTTTAAACCTGCATCATATTCGAGTAAAATTTGTTAACAATAAGATAAAACGGCCGAAGATAAGAAATGAAATTATTGAATTGATGAAACCAAGGCCATATTTGTAATTATTTACGTTCAAGGTACCTTATTTAACAACAAAAGTCAATAAAATAAATATGAGTAAAAGTATTTTATCATTGCATAATACAAATAAATGGTAAATCACATAAAAGAAATTCCAGAAGTAACAATTTAAACTCTAATCCATTTCCGCCGAAGGACCCAGTGAGGGAATTTAAAATGGAACCCATCAATAATAAATGGAGGTTAATAAGGCAGAAGGAGGAGGACATTAAATTTCACAAGATAATTGACCCTTTTGAAAAAAGACTATGCTAACTAATCGACCCAATGTTCCATTTTTTAATTCAATTTTTCCCCTTTAAAGAATTAATAACTCCATAAGAATCCGCATTTTGTAAGTGTCGAAGAAAAATTGTTTTCTAATTTACATACCATTTATTGCAGGGATAAAAAATGAAAAGTTACAGTGACGTGATTCAAGCTTTTTCTCTCTCCGCCACACTGTGCATCCTAAATTCAATAAACCTTGTAAACGTAAAGTAGATTCAAAGAAAATATGGAGAAAGAAGTAAAATCAATAGGTATAGAGGAAAATGGTTAGCTCACCTAATTTACGGTTTTGCTGTATGTGTTGAGAGAATGAAATCCGTGGAATTTTAATTTGAATAATTGAAATTCTCTACTAAGATTTTTATGTAAACTTATCGACCAACTCCTAACTTCTTAAAAAAATTCGGAAAATTACTCTGACTGGCAACATTTTCGTAAAGTTTCAATAATAAAACAAAAGTTCAATTACAAAAATAAAATTAAAGGTTTAATTTACACAAACTGCATATTGTTATAAAATGAGTTATAGTTTTCAAACAGACTTAATTTGTGTTCCCTTTAATGTAACAAATGATCATAATGTCATGTTTGAAGGATCACCTCAGCCTGTGACTTGGGCGCCAAAAATCGAACCAGGAATCTCGAAGATAATTCATCGAAATCAGAAAGCTCTTATCGTTCGTAATATTCAAGCGACGGATAATAATGATGAATGCAGTGGGTCTTTCTTTCCTTGGCAATTTGTGAGTTCATTACTAAATAAGACCAAAAAATTAGCAGACCAGGAGAAAAATCGCTGATTTTTCTTTTCTTTTTTTTGTCATCCCAAATCTGGATCTCACGTGCCCCGAGGGACGAAAGTTATTTTTATCAATTTTTAACTTGGTCTATTAAAAAATGTAATGTAAGATGTACGTATGTATCTATCGTATCCATGACAAAATTAGCTATAAAATTAGAAAAAAGACTCATGATGACTTCTCTAGAATTAAATTAGAATTTCTTTCTAATGCCAGATTATCACTTATTCTGTTATAAAAAAAAAAACTCCTTAAAAGCATGCCATCATGGGATTTTGAGTGGTTGATTCATTTTTTGGTTGAGTCATACATTGAGCCATCTCCAATAGAATGGTCAAAGGCGAGCTGCAAATAACGAATCATTTTTCGCAATACAATGAAATTAGTTTAATAAATAGATCTCTTTTGAGGCAAAAAAGGAAAGCTATTGAATCTATTTTCGATATCGATAAGGCAAAGAGGACAGAGATATAGGGCGGAGTCAGACACCGAAAGAGCAAAGGTTTCGTGAGATAAAGTGATCTGAGATGGTCGCGTGTTACCATCGCCCGATTAACAAAGGCTGTTAGCTCTACTCTTATTTCATCGCCATCTTCGACGATAAGTGTAAGGAGTACAGAGGCAATAGTTATCCCCTGCACTACTTTATACACAGTTCCTTAATAACGTTCGTGACCAGTTATAAGAGGAAAGATTGCTTCGGAGAACAACTTTAAGTTTTACTTTATCCTGCACAATTACACTAATGTAGCCTTCCGCAGATTTTCATGGACACAAACACCAAAAGCTATAAAAATAAAAAGATTAATTCCCGTCAATAATAGGATATCCGCTAATAAATTAACTCTAAGTACGAATCTCTCTTTACCGAGAGATATCAGTATTTGAGAAGAAAAAAAAACACCTTAAAATTGATATATTTATTGCCATTAGAGAGTACTATCACAAAGAGGTACAACATAAAGTAAAAATAATAGAAAGAAGTTACGTAAAAGAAAAATTGTGACCAACTACTAATCAAACAATGATAAGAAAAGGAATAAGCACATGAGATTTTTAAATGGAAAAATATCGTCGACTGTCAAAGTATTTGTAAGTTTGTTGGGGATAGCAGTTAGTAAAAAATACTTTATCATAAACAAAGAATACTTTATCTTTTTTTTTCCAACCACCTTCTATCATAATTCTTTTCAACTTTTAACAAATCTTGAAATTCAGTTTTATTATTTAGAACAGAACAAGAGCTTCAAAAAATTAAGTGATTATATACGAGATGGAAAAAATTTTCATTCCAAATAAAGAAGAAACATTACATCAACATTAGCAATTGAAATATATTAAATCAAGGGAATTAAATTAATTATCGAATCACTAAATTATAGGGAAATTTATCAATAGTAAAATTTTCATTATATGGCCATTAGAAAAAAAAATAGCCAAAAAGATGGCAAAATCAAAACCTGATCAGAGCACAAAAAGAAATTTCTTTTTTTATTTAGTAAGACACTAATGATGTTGGTACAGCTGTACCTAGGCAAGACCTCCCAGTCAACACAACACCTGTTGCTCTGTTTGCAGTTACCACCCTCCGCTATAGATTTCTCTGTCTTATAACAGCTAAGTGTAGATAAACCGTTGTACCGAGATTTAAACCGAGATAAACCATAAAAAAAATTAAAAAAAAAAAAAAAAACTACCTACAGCCAATCTTAATTAAGTTATAGCAATGTAAAACGATATTTATTGATGCTATAATAATGACAATAACTTTGTCCATACCTCCAAACAGATATATAACTGGGAAAAGATTACTATTAAATTAGAGCAAGCAGTTAATGATACAATTTACCACGGTAGAAAACATTAAGTTCGAATATCTTTTACTTCTGCTTTGAACACTTATAAATCGGATTATTGCTTTAAAATTTAATAAATCAATTTTGGTCGATATAAAATTTATGATTTAAAGTCACCTAATTAACTTTTATTACTAAATGCAAAAACTTTCTTTGAGAATTTTACATAAATCAAATCTCTATCACGGACACCGTTTTAAAGAAAAATTGATCATAATGAGAGAAGTGTTGTCTGATAAAATAATCCAAATAAATTTTTGAAATGATGAAAATCGCACTTGTAATGTAAACGATTGTACATTCCATTATAATCTTATCGTAGAACCTACTTTTCCCAATTCAGTTAAAAAATAAAACCAAGCTCAATACTAAGACAACAGAAAACGCTCGCCGTAGCGTTCTTTTTATCGACATCTCCATCAATAAAAAAACCGAATGGGACCCAGTTCACAGCAGCCAACACCTTCCATACAAGATGAGCTTGAATGGACCTAGAAAATAAGCAGTTTCCTATCAAGAAACAATCCCGACCTGAGAGGTTAGAATACTAAGGGCAGAATGGGTATTTCTCGACCCATTTTCGGGAAGTGAGATTCTGAATACAAAACTAAAACGAGAGCCCTCCCCATACCCTTCCCTTAACCAATGCCGAAACAGGTTAGGAGAATTTTTATAAACATCAAAATCCATAGAAAATCTTTCATATAAAACACGTTTCACAATAAGAATTATTCATTGTTTTTTAAATATGAGTTGAGTTTGATTAAATAAGTTTTGAGGAATTAAAAAAAAAAATACTTACATTGCAAACTCAACCCGTTTGTTCAAAAGATCCATTAGATTTCAATTACCTCTGAGGTAATAAAGATCATATACATGAAAGGTAAGAGATCCTTTGTTTAATATTAGGCATGATTAGGGCCTTAATAAAGTTAGATTACGCCAGGAATCAAAGTCAAATAACGGAGATACCTCACTATTAAAAAAAAAAAATATTTCATGATAAAATTGGGATAAATCAGTTCTATGAAGAATATTATTACAAGAATTAAATATAAAATGATCAGTTCCTAAATACCTTTAGCAACCTATTTTATTTATGCATTTAATGAAAATCAGTGAATGAAATGGAATTGAAATGAATGATAACTAAAATTAACTATAAAAATGAAGTGAACTTAGCCGTAAACAGTATTAAGTCTAAAAGTCTTGTATGTGTGAAATGAATGATATTTATAAGACACATAGCATGCGGGGAGCTTTTTTTATCATTAGAGACCGCATTAAGGTTAGGCAATGATATTTTTTTTTATAATTTACTGCTGCTATTTTTTTATATGTAAATACACACCCGAATACACATATTCAACTTATTTTTCAAATTTTTGTAACCTACATTATTAAATATTGATTAATTCAAGCGCTAGATTAAGGAATGCAGCGTACAAACTAATGTGCTCCAAACTAAAGGTAGTTTACAGAGGCCACCTGAGGCCTAGAGGCCGTGCCCGTTCACACCTGCGATATATAATATAATAAATTTAAATACGATTTAATCAATCCGTTATGTAAAACATGATTCGTTGAATGGAGATCTTTGGTTTAAAAAGCACACTCCTCTCCAAAGTTCTTTAATTTTTCTCACCATAATAATCCATAGACCAAACTCTTCTCTTAAATAGCTTTTTATTTAAATATCCCAAGCAATAAACTAACAAACTTCCCGGTTTTTCAGGACTACAACTCCCTGCTGGTGGACGGGGTGTGCCAGATCCCAGACCCGCTGTACAAACTCATAGGATCCATCGTCAGCTTCTACATCCCGCTAGGGGTCATGCTTATCACGTATGCCCTAACGGTGAGGCTCCTCGCCGAACAACAGCAGAACCTAGGCGGCGCCACCAACAACTGGTCTTCGGGATGGATGGGAACACCGCTTGCAGGTAAGTCAGTTATACCGGAAACAGGTCATTATATGGTTAATCACATCTATAAAACTAGCTAAAGAATTCAGGTAATACATTTTCAGAATTTCCCCATATTTCGAATTTTTATTTGGCTCAAAGGATTCTCTGGAATAAATTACTTATTTCATTAACGTACAAATAAATATGCTCCCCTGTCTTATCGTATCCTCTAACAATTCCATTTCAAAAAAGACTTACACACTGCATAATTAGGTAAATTAAAATTTTTGGATACAAATGATCTAGCTTATACCTCAGGATCCACATAAAGTTGGAGAAAGAACACACAGATAATGTGTCAGATAATCCAGAATTACAAGAACTGAGAGCAACTTATATCTCCTTCCATCCCTTCCCCAGCAAGAGGAATATTCTATTATTAGTTAATATTCATGAAACAGAGCAAGCTATAAATTCGAGAGGCATAGCTAACCTTAAATGGATTTATATCATAAGGGACATCCGAGATCTCGTCTCGTTTATGGCTAATGTATGGATAACGTAAAGTTGAATTGCTAAGGAGCTTTCAAGAATTATAAAGCGTTTAGTAATATAATTTTTAGTAATTTTTTACACTATGAAAGTTTCAAATTATAATAATTAAAGATTTTTCAATGTATGGTGGAATTTGGATTTATGTTTGTATTTATACTGATTGACCGTAAGGTGCCACCTTAAACATTTCTAAACTATCATTATTTTTTTTTAAATATACTGAAATGGAAGTATAAATTTCAATACTTGTGTTTTGAAAAAAAATATGGAATCCTCCGTTAACATAACCTAGCGTTACGGACAAGAATTTTAGTATTTTTTTAGATCATTCTTTTTAATCCATCATCAGATTTCTTATAAGAAACAATAGAGGGGCATACATAGGGGAAAATTAGGTAAGTGAGAGACTTCATTTTCTATAATTCCGATGTTATGGAAAGATCCCAAGAGTGATTTAACAGAGTCTTAAGCAGTTTGAATAGAGGATTTATAGAATATTGATTCGAGGAGCTACCTTGTCTTCGAAAGTGACCTATTAAATTACCACCCTCACCTTCCAGCCTACTAATCGAATTTCATTAATTATAATTTATTGATCGGCTACTACCTAATAGATATAAATTAATATTCGATATCGATGATTCGACTCATCATAGAGGTTGTTTATTTGTTGTAATACAAAGATAGGTTTATAATTAATAAAAAAAATTGTTTAAACGATCATAAAGAAAAAAAAAATCATGACACACGCACAAAAAAATTAACAAAGCTATCAAGTGTTCTAATGTATCAAGAATCAATTCAAAATCAAAGTGTATGCGATAAATAATTACAGTCGAGATAGCGAGACTATCGCGCGGGACGGAAGGAACTAGGAGGGTAACACCGCGCACCGGACGAGGCCGGAAAAAAAGGGGGCAGTTGGCCGAGTTAGGGTCGCATATAAATCCTACGCGCGAGGTGGGCTTTTTGCCCCTCTCTCAACCCATCCGACAAAGGTCTCTATTTCCTAATTTCCAAACAGGACCTATTTAGTGATCCAGAATATTTCTATAAAAATAATTGAAGCAATTAATTATGTTGATATTGAATATAAAAAAAATGTATCTATAATTAAAACTTTTGGAATTTTTAAAAGAGTGAAAGAATTATGTGCTAAAGATATAAAGATCGTATTTTTGTGTAAGTTAATCTAATGTTTTAACAGTGCTCAAATTAAAAAGATTAGTCATTCCAAATCACAGAAATGTGGTATATTTCTATAACAAAAGTTAGGCTGAAGGGAGGTTGATCATAAATTACCCACTTCAGAAATATGATACCGTTGACCTAAGGCGAACAAATTTGGTCCATAGATTTACAACGTCATGTACCTTTCGAAGCACAGACTGATCCTAGCCGCTCGACAGGTAACCTTGAACGACGCTACACCTGGAGGAGGCTGTTGGGAAGAAGCGGACAACCAGGTGCTCCTGGCGGACACTCCTCGGCCGGTTCGACTGACACAGAACTGACCACGCTGGATACCCACGAGCTTTGGATACCGGAGTCCGAACCAAAACCCTACGCCACCTCGGCACTCCATCAGTTCGGCCAAGAGATGCTCAAGCTGTCAAGGGGGCTTGAAACTGTAGCAGCTTGCAGTGTGCAGTCTACGCCAAGACCACAATTCAGGAGGTAAAGGTCAAACTAATTCTAACTCATTTTTGTCATACTGAACACAGAATACATGTGTTGTAATTTTCTATTTGCAGAGAATTAATACCAGTGGACTTGTCGAATTTAAACGATCGAGCAAAGCAGAGAAATAAAAGACGCCGGGCATCGACAATAGACTTTCCAATCAGGAAGCAGGACTCGTCGGAGAATTTAGATACAAAGAGAGTGATGAGTTTCCAAGAGTCTCTCTGCAAGTGGGCTTCATCCAGCTCTGACGAAGAACTGATCAAAATCCGGACCGTACAAACCAGCCAAGAAGAGAAAGACCCCATGAGCTTGTTACCGCCACCGTGCACTTGTCCTTACTTCGGCGAGTCCAGCAAGAAACCGCCTAATAAGGGAACAGATGTAGTTATAGTCACTTCCGAGGACAAGCCTGGATTCATACGGCGGGAGGAGAGTTCTAGCACCATCGTTACTTGGGAGTCTCCAAAGTTCAGAAGAGGATCCAGCTTCAGAACTTCATTGGCTACCAGGAGTCAAGAGAGCTCCCCAACGGTAAGGAAATCGGCCCTGAGGAGATCGGCAACACTCAGAGCTGGTAGGCCCGACTTCAAGGCAATGGAAGATGCTGCCCAGGGGGTACTGCTTAGGTAAACGATGCAATATAATTTAAAGTTATCAATATTTGACATTAGAACATTATAATATATTATTTATGTGAAGTACTGGATATACTGAAATTCTAAAGTGCATGCTGTAGTTATCAATAAGCAATATTGACTTTAAAAAATTGTAATGACGAGATAATTTCCAAGGTACACATATTTTATAGGTACAGTTCGAGTCCTGGAGGAACTAAAAATATGCTAGTCAAACCACCGCATTCGCGCAACTCGAGTGTGTTGTCTAGAACATCTTCTAGACACGGGAGGATTATTCGGCTGGAACAGAAGGCCACCAAAGTCTTAGGCGTGGTGTTCTTCACGTTCGTCATCCTGTGGGCACCTTTCTTCGTTCTGAACCTAGTCCCATCGGTCTGCCCTGAGTGCGAGAGGAATATCGACAAATGGGTCTTCGACTTCGTCACTTGGCTAGGGTACGCCAGCTCCATGGTAAACCCAATATTTTATACAATATTTAATAAAGTGTTCAGGCAAGCTTTTAAGAAAGTCCTCCTATGTAGATACAGAAACCAAACGTGGAAACCCACCAAAAGATAAATGTCGATATGTATTTATAAGACAATCAAAGGTATTTGTTGTGAAACTATAGCTGGTAGCAGATAAATGTGTAAATATTTATTGTTGTATATAAAATATATATTTAATTTTTAAACAATGTATCTAACGCATAAATGTGTACAAATATATAAATATGTATATGTGTTAATTTAAGATTGACAAACGTCAAATGGTAAGCATTATTCTAAAGTAATAAAGCTTGAAAGTATTGTAAATACTAAAAAGATGTATAATTAGAATTTATTTAATGTATAATTTAGCCATTCCAGGATATTTGACAACACAATGTATCATTCTCGAAATAAAAATTTAGTATTTGTGGTTTGTTTTGTTCCCAATGTTAAATAGATGAGGGTTAGCGAGACTGGTTTGTGCTAAGAGATTTCATGGAACCGGTGGCAGAACAAAGGTGAATATTTTGTGAAAAATGTTAAATATAAAAACTTTGTTGAACGAATAATTTTTCGAATGATTCTATCTTTATTGCTGAACTAATCCTTGAATACCCAAACATCTAAAATAAATATAACTACTAATTATTCGAATTCCTTATTATTAGATACATATCTCAGTCAGCTAAAGACAATAGGAAATCGGGATACACCGAAAAGGGAACATGGATCCTACCAGAGGGCAAGAGTCAAACCACAGGTGGGGAACTAATTAATCTAAAAACAGGACTGGGGGACGAGGAACTTGGCTGATGAGCGCTAGCTCATTAAAGAGTTAATCAACTGCCGGGTCTCCTGATAAACTAAATCCTTCTTAAATCAGTTTTTGATTAGAAAATTCCCGCAGCCTTCGTGGCAGCGAGTCCGTACGAACATGTATTGTCCCCATTCACGAAAGCATCAGTTAGGAATAAGCATAGCACATAAAAGTTATTTTCTGATAATCAATTCGTAAAAATAAGCTTGATGAAAACGTGGTTTACTAAAAAGAGGAAAACGGAAGCATTTATGGCCTGCCATCTGCCAACTTGAAATTTAATAATGGACGATGAAGACCGTCAAACGAATCTGTCAATATCAGGGTAGCTTTGGGGGAAAAAACAGAACAACGAATATCACGGAAGTTTTTCATTCGCATTTTTTATAAATATATATTCACCAGAGCGAGAAAATATGATGATGAAATTAATAACTTATACCATATGATAAAGCTTTTTCTTAACAGAATTATTTTTTTTAAAAATCACTACCATTAGCTTGAAAAGGAATGTCAAAAACACAATAGAAGAATATATCTCATAGATTTATATTATTTTTTTAGAATAAGATTTAACTTTTAATAATTTTTTTACATATATTATCTATATCGGAATTCAGAACAAATCAATGGTTACGGTACGAAAACGTATCATGACCCTTTGACCTAATGGCTTCCTATTGTTCAGGGCTCAATTCGTTTGAGATGCAGACCTACGAGTATAGAGTCCGAGAAATCAAGGTAAAAAAAAAATCTTTCTTGAAGATTTTTATAAAGACTAGAACAATATAAATTTATGATAAAATACAGATTTATACATCATGTTTTACAGTTAATTAAAAAAAAAAAACTTGTATCATATCATAACAAGTTACTTGGGCTCAGTATTTTGTAAGAAAGGACTATTTCAAGGGCGACAGATGTCCAGGAAGGGGGTTGGACCGATATCACGCTCAACCTCCAGATTTTTAACTTAATTAATTATTTAAGTAAGATAATGCACTTTCTAGAAGCAGAGTGTGTTCCAGGAGGGTCAATTCATGACTGAAGTGACAGAATAAATAACTACGTGCCATCAGCCGAATTAGTATACCGGACCTTAAGTGGAAGTCAGTGTCTTAATCACTGAGCTCCCTTTTATACCCAATATTGTGACAACTAGTTTCTATGCGGATAAATCTTGAACAAGCAACCTGTATAAGTTATACCTGATTCATTCATACAAATAGCCTTGACAAGGGCGATTGAACTTGGAGCTGATCAAATAAGCACACTGGAAATAGTCATTACCTTCTATTCTAGCCCTGAGCTGTATTGATTAGATTACAGCAAACCAAATCTTCTATCACTTGTTGAGACAGTTTAGCGGGAATCACAAACTGCTGTAAAGGGATAGAATCAACGTCAAAATAAAAAAATCTTTTATTTAAAATTCAGCTACCGTATTTAACAGAATAATTAGGAACTTCACACTGTAACAGAAACACCGAAAAAATGAGAGACAAAATAGAAAAAAAAAAGAAAAGCAAATTAATCGTGAAGGGAGAGAGATAAATAAAGACGAATGGATTAGCATATTTTGTAGGCTGCAACTTTTGTATTGAAATGCAAATTGGTCAGGGCCAAAGTTAAAAGGCGAACGAATTTTTAATCTAATTTAAAAACAAGGACGCTTCAGCAGAGTTTAGAAAAACTTGTTTTCGCAAGCGATCCGATTAACGGTTCTCGGATGAAATAGGACTTCTTCGGAAAATTTAAAGTTTGCTATGACAGTTAACTATTGTCGCCGTTATCTCATTAGAATTGCTTGGAACTGAACCGACTGAGAGTTTTAAAACGCTAGATAATGTCAAAGCAATGTTATTATCATAAGGAGTGTTGCTAGCTGGGGTTTATTGATAGAATAGCACACACGTGAGGGGGAAAGAGCAACCATACCTTTAGTAACGAGGCCCAGAGAAAACATATCAGCATTTGATACATGAAGTATCGTATGTATAAAAAAAAATGGTATACAAAATATCATTATCTATATCGTTTATTTGGATTTTTACTTCAATTTTCGATTACCTCGATTTTTTCAAAAGACTAACTTGGAGGTCTTACATTAGACGAAAACGAATAGAATTAAACAGACGATAGGGTCTTTTATCTAGATTACTTTACAGACGTTCAAAATAATCTTTAACTAACAAATTAACCCTTAATAAAGTTTTACTTAAACCAATTTGGACTCATGGTATAGAAAATGGAGTTCCGCTAAAACCTCTGATATTGAAAAATCCAATTTTTCCAGTCCAAAATTTTGCTTATTATAATTATTATTAAAAAAATCTTATATCGCAAACGATATATTATATTACATAAAGAATTAAAAATCCCAACAATTTTAGACTCTGCAAAAGAAAACTACAATAACTTTCACGTAAGACTGACTTACATAAACCCTCTGACAGAAAATCCTAAACGCACAAGAAACCCGTAAAGCCCACCACGACGATTACGTAGCCGGTGGCCAAGAGACCTGCTGAACTGATCTATTTCCTGGATATGTGATAGGACGCTGTGAAGCTGCCAAAAAAATTGCTAGTTACAATGAAATTTGCAGATCGTAATTTAATACTTGGGTCAAGCGAGGACACTCTATATATAAAGGAAAGCGAAGACCCTGACTGATACAAATTTTATCTGTAAGCTGGTGGAGATACTGGGGATTAATAAATGATACCCTTAGAAAGACCGATACCACCACAACCAATGGAGTGTCTTGGGTCAGTACTGGTAAGGCAGTAATGTTTTGAGGACAACGGCTGTGCAGAGGTGGTAACACCGAGATCATGCTCAGCCTCTAGCTTTCGCCCTTAGTCAATTATTTAATTAAGAGTATTCACTTTATAGAGGCTAGGTATGAGGCCTAAGGGGATCTCCCGATTCCAGAGTCGATCCGCGGCTGATATAACAGAATAGCTAATTACCTACTACAATCGGAAACCAAAACCTTAAGCTTAGTGAGTTACCCTTCTCTCTACATCATTCCTTAACTAATACAAATAACAGTAAATCGTCAAGTAATAATAATGAATAGACTATTTGAAATAATAACAACGCAAGTTTTCTAAGGTCGTTAATACAACGAGCCTTTGATTCGAGCTGCCCATGCATTAGGAGCCTTTGGATATAATAAAGTCGAGGCATAATAGCCAAGGCTGAGTCAATTTGACCTTCTCAAATTTCGGTATAAAGCCACTGAATAGGGCAGCCGATAACGCATTAGCGATAAAATCTATCGTAAATACTTCATAACTTTTTCAATACATCTTTTCAAACGTATAAGAAAGGAATAGTCCAATTCAAATAGTTAAACATTTAGAAATCAAAATATTCTCAACGTAATGGAATTTATACAAAACCGAAAGATACGCAGAAAGAATATTGATTCAAAAATTAACTTATTGGAATGTTGACTAATATACCTAGTTCTGCCATAAATACTGTAATAAAAGTTGAACTTGTTTAACTCCTTAGGTATTATTTAGATAATCCTTACCTCTATCAGCTTATTTTCTTTACATGTCAGGATAAAAATCCCAATTAGGATAAATTAGTTTATATTTGTCTTTCGCCCAGATAACATGGAGTGGGGTAATAAAGAAAAACGAATAGCTGTGATCGCCTTAAACATAATTTAGTTCATGGTTGGAAAATGTAGATCAAAGATTTTCAACCCTTATGTCCGCGTACCGCACTATAAATAGATATAATAAGTTCCCGTACTGAGAGAACTGCAAATGCAATGAGAGCAGTGGCTGCTCGAATCAGAAGAAATCCCAATCGAAAACAACAAATCGTGTCTCGGGAAATGGAAATATATGTGTGATCAATGTCTTGCATTACTACATGCAATATGCAAAGGTGACCTTAGTATGGGTGCATTTCGAAGAATGGCAGGACAAAGGCTAACCACTTCCCTAAAAAAAAAAGAGTGGTCTTGTGTTTTGTTTAGATTTTGTTTAGCGATGAGAAAATGTTTACAATTGAAGAAAAATATAATAGCCAAGATGATCGTGTGTACGCACACAGCTCTAAAGAAGCCTAGGAAGTCATTGGAAGAGTGTAAAGAGTTCATCACTTTTGATGACGATTGAAAGTGGTAGGTTTGTGTAAATATGAAAAAATAAAAAAAAAGTATTAAACCAACAGGGGAAAGTCCTGGGATACTATTGCAAGTAAGGGAGAGCTATTGCAAGTAAGTCTGATCATGTGAATCAACAATT